CCATATGAAAAAAACAGAATAAATCGAGAATATTTTGAAAAAAAAAGAAACGAGCAAAAGAAGAGTGATGGCTAACTTTTGTTAACGTCTTCGTTCTAATTATGTCGAAGCTTGAAAAACCACGAAGTTCTCGAAAATTTGTCTTTTTGTGGCTCTATTTCGAAGAGAACAGAACATCATAGGAAAGATTGGAAAAGAATAGTATCAATTCAATCTTAATATGCATTCACCTGACGCCTGAACGAGTATTTTCTGAGTTTCCGTTCTTGAAATCATAGCCACGCAAAAATGACAACTTTCGAATGCGTACATCAAGAAAGTAAAAAAAAAGCTTGTAAAGGGCTAGATAAATGCTGTGCATCGCACTTCATTAAAAACTAGATGGCATTAGAGATTCACTAGATTGCGGAATGCAGTGCGAAACGTTGAGTGTCGATTATCGTAGAAATCCGTATCCCAAAAAACAGACGAATAGTGTTTTTACGAATTATCACAAAACGGTTTACCGTAAAAGATATTTACGTTTTTCGAGACTGAAGCTTTTATTGTTACAACAAATCGGAAAATTCATGTTTTAACCAAACCGTCATTCGAAGCATAAACGGAGTTGAAAATCAAATATGGCAAGATTCATCAGTACGAGAACTCTATTAACGCGCATTAATAGTTTTCTGAAGAACGCTGTCGATTGGTCGTTCAATTATCTAGGCGATTCATTAGTTATGATCAACTTTCCTTATAGCTGTAATTGATAAAATCAGCTTATCAAACAGACTGGTCACTAACTTTTTATCCTGTGTTCATTTTAATGATCTTGAAACTTGAAAAACAGCAGTTCACAAAAAACAAGGAGTCATTATGAAGCAAAAATCGTCCGCATCCTCTCATAAATTCAATTTTGTGTTACCTGTTTTGTCATTTTAACTGTCAGAAGACTTTAAGTAAGGAAATCAGACCTTTCAACGCATTCTGCACTGTATAGCAAGTGGTTAAGTTAACAAAGATTTATTCATATTCTATTTCCTCAGAAACATTAGATTACAGTGTTTTCATGAAAAATATTCCCTTCGTTTTCTCATATATACCGCCGATCTTTGTATAAAATTAAACTGTTTCAGTTCTCTATCAATAGGTGTATGGACAAATGAGAAAAGATTACTCCTTGCCTTTTCTTATATGAGGGTATGATTCATGTCGCTTACCACTGATAGACTCCCATGATGAATATTACTTAGTGCGCTTCTCTAACGGTAGCTGTCCACTTTGGATTTCATATCAATCGATAGACCTGGAGAAGACTTACCAAGTAATGCTGAGAAATCCATGAAAAAGAATTTAGAGGGTATGTTCCGGTGAAAAAATTTTTCAAACAGGTCGGTTAAAACTTCAAAGTCTTATTAGCCAGATATAGTAAATTTTATTACATCACTCTATAGTGCAGGTCCAAATGTATCAGTTACCCCATTGGGAACACCTGAAACGGATCCTCCGTGAATCTCCCCTGAAATTTCTCAGTTCGGATCCCGTAGGAGAAGGCTGTAAACCCGTATTATTCGAGCTTCCACGCGAAATATGGGAGAAATTGCAAACCCGAGATCACCATTCGAAGAATCACGTCGGGTTCTACTTGGGACACGACTAGAACCACCTGTACCACTTCATGGATGAATCAGTGCTGGAGTTACTGTCACGGTTACCTATCACTTATGGGCAAAAACCGACACTTTTTAATTTCTGAACAAATGGTTTATAATATCAAAAGTCTGGAATCACCATTGGATAGAGCACGTCGATTAGTACTTGGAACTCGTCTGAAACAATCTGGAACACTTCCTGAGCGAATCGGTGGTGGAATTATTTCCAAGTTTGCCTAGTGCCCATGGGAAGACAACGGTATTCTTGATTTTTTGACGAATGGTTCAAGATATCGTAAAATGGATGTCAGCATCGGATGGAGCATGCCAAATTGTACGTGAAACTCTTGCGGAACAATTTGGAATATTGCCTGAGCGAATCGATGATGGAATTACTCGAATCGGGTGCTAACTTCACCTACGTCATATGTATATAGTTCGTTTTAGATTCACTACAACTAACACTGTAGACTTCAACGTAATCAGTCAGGCATCAATGGAAATAAACCATACAAAACATTCGACAATAGATGCAAGCAGCACAACAAAATAAAGAGCATACAAAAATAGCACACCTATCCACTGAACATCGAAGCTCTTTAACAAGCACACCAAATTCATATAGAACAATAGTCAACAAAACCTACCTAAACGATCTATCGAAAACAATGATAAGGCTCTCATCAAACGATGGTATAAGTATAGATGTACCTTTGTTTAAATTCGACTTTTGTCGAAAAATATGGATCGTTACAAGTGCTATTTTAAAATCCTGTTGCTCAGGTGAAATGTCGACGTCATGGTAGTTCTGCACATCCACACCCACACTCAAAACAAGTCGGTGGTTTAAACGTTGAAACAATAATTATACTAAGTCGATTTGTGATGCAAAACAATTATTTTTCTTATAATGGCCAATATTATCATCAAATCCGTAGAGCAACAATGAGTTCTCCTCTTACATTAACTGATGTGAATTGTTATATGTTCTTTTATGCACAACATATATAAAGACAAATCATCAACAGTGGTGGCTTATATTTCCGAGATAATGATGATATATTTATTATAATTAACTGACCAGCTCGCGATTTATTTAAAAAATAGACAGATGGAATCATTTTAATCAAAATATTAGATTATCAGAAAATATAAGTTCAACAGCTGATTTTCTCGATTTACATATCGAACATCAAGATGGTCAACTATTTACTATAGTTTATCAAAATCCATCTTATGAACCATACTATTTGCCATTCAATAGTATATATCCAATACACATGAAGAAAAATATAATTTTTACAATATTTTTCGTACTATTCAATATTATTCAACATTTCAGACACATTTAAAGAAACGTGAAAGGCTAGGAATAGCATTTTTGATAAATAATCATCTAAAAAAATTTATTAATGAACAATTCAATAATGTTTTGTTAAAATTTAACATAAATCAGCCGTTAAAATTAGATAACTATGAAAAAATTCGTCAAAAACTCATCGATTCTCCATTTAAACGAAAAACGCCAATTGGTTATGGAAAAAGCATGTCCGTACAAGTTACATATTATTCAAATATGAGAACATTTCCAGACAAGTTCCATTCTCTTTAGAACAAACATTTTGGAAAATACCCAAATAATGAAGTTAGACCAGTTATTGGTACGCGTAACGTTAACAGTTTGCAAAGAAGACTTATAAATACTCGAAATAATTAGATTTTACTATTGTTGTCCATTAATGAAATTTGTGATTTCTATTACTATGGTACCATTAGACGAGTCATATTATTGGTTAATTATTATTATTGAAAAAGTTATAAAATCCGATCTATAAACAGAAGTATTAAACAATCCTTATTTATGAATTCTATTTAGTTAATTATTAGAAACTTTTAAATTGTACAATAAAGGTTTTTCAATCATTGAACAAAGATTTAATTTAATTATTTTTTTAACAACTTTTTTCATCTCATTTCGTCATTATTATTAACTGTTATTTTAAAATTATTATTATATTTGATTTAGCATAAATATCGTTTTAATAATAACTTTATAAATATGATTCAACTTTCAAGTACATATTTTAGTATTTGATTACTTAAAAAAATCGAATTTACAAACAAAATTATAAAGTTAATAAAATTTTAAATTACAAAATAAAATGTGTTCAAATCCATTCAATATGTAAAACTTTAATTGAACAAAAGGATTTTTAATCATGTTGATTATTGGTAATTAACGTGTTTTTATTATTATTATTACTTGTCTATTGTGAATGCATTAATTCGGTTAAAATAAGTTTTAGTTTTCTAAACTAAATTTTATGCGAAATACAGAGTATGGTATAGGCCTGTATTATGTTTACTAAACTCCCCCCTAGAATAAAAGGCCATGGCTTTCTATTATGGAAATTCACATCGCTTCTGCAAAGGTGGCCTTCTATTGTGGACTATTTTTTTTGCTAAGATTTACCTAAAAAACCAGGGGTTGT